CAGGGGGTCCCGGCCTCCCCGCTGGACGGATGTGGGTGGGTGGCGGGGAGCCAGGCTGGAGATGCCCAGATGGGGGGACAGATGGACACAAGGATGGGAGGATGACGGGTGTCACCTGGGTGGCAAAAGGCCCTGCGATGCAGCCGGTCTCTGCCCCCGGGGGAGGAGGTGGCGGGGGGAGGGGTGTGAGATCCTCAGGGAATGGGGGAGTGGGGGCAGGGCGCTGCGGTGCCGGCTGCGTGCGTGTGAGTGTGCATGCGTGTGTGTTGCTGACTCGCTGCCGGTGTGCGCCTGGCTCTTTGTGCATGGCCGGGTGCCTTTGTGTGGCAGAGGCGCCGTGTGTTTGCGTGTGCGTGTGTGTGTGTGTGTGTGTACCTGTCTCTGTGTGTTAGTGTATCCGTGTGCCTGCATGTTGCTGGTGCGCCCGCGCTGCGCTGAGCCAGGCTGGGGGGGGCCCACCGGGTATATATGCGTATGCATCTGCGTCGCGTGTGTGTCCGGGTAGATCTGCCGGTCTGTCATGATCTGGGGGGGTCATCTCGCTCTCCGTGCGTGTGGAGAGGGCGAGGGTAGAGCGCTTCTGTGTGTGTGTGCATGTGCGTGTGTGCACGGCTGGACCCTGCGCTCCCTGGGGGGCCGGACAGGACGGGGCATTGAGTCCTGGGTGGGAAGAAGGGCAGGGGTAACCGGGAGGCTGGCAGGACGTCACCACAAGGCCTCTCCGCAAGCCCCGGGGCTGCAGCTTGCGGGGCTCCTGCCCTCTTCCAGCCCGGGCTGGGCAGAGCTCCCGGATGGAGCCCAGGCGGCCTGGCCTGGCCTGGCTGGCCAGGGACACCGACACCCCGCGCAGCCCCCCAAGACCTCGCTGGCTCGGAGACGCTATGCTGGCCAGCTGTCCCCTACCGATTTTAAGATGCTGGGCAAGGGCAGCGGGGTGGCATGTGAGAGCTGGCAGGGCGTGCAGGGTGCCCTTCTCTGGCCGGCTGCCAGGGTGGTACTTAGTGAGCGCTGGGGTGGGTCCGGGTTGTGGAGGGCTGGAGAGGGGCGGCTAGCACCATAGGGAGGGGAACAAAATGGTCCGTGGGCTCAGGATGTTCTCTTCACGCTTCCCCCACCCCAGAGGCGGTCGCATCTGGGCACCAGGCGCAGGGTCTCTGTGTAAACAGTCCTCGAGCGCCCTACCCCAGAGGTGGCTGCATCGCAGCACTGGGTGCAGGGCTGTATACCCAGCCCTGGACACCTTACCCCAGAGACAGCTGCAGAGACCCTTACTCTACCCCAACCCCCCAACTCTCCCAGAGCAGGGAGGGATCCCGGGGGTCGGGGCTCCCCGTCCCGCTCTGCTCCTCTCCCCGAACCGAACCCAGGCATCCTGGCTCCCTCCACCCCCACCTCCCAGTCCTCTGCTGGCACGTCTGGCCCCAAAACACCTCGGCACGGGTCCCGCTGCTGACCATGCTGACAGCAGACTAATGGCCGTGGCGCCAGCGTGGTGGGGAAGGCAGGCCGCTGCAGGCAGCTTTCAGGGCCCCGGGCTATTTATGCCACGGCCTTAAGAGCATAAGCCTCCTCGGGGGCCCCGGGCTTGGAGCAGGAGCCCGGTCAGCGGTGTAATCCGGGGATGAGCAGGCGGGAGATGATGCTGGTTGGCACGGGGCCCTGTGCAGGCGGAGCACCACATACGGCTCTGGGGCTGCGAGCCCGCCTAGGGGGGTCCGCCAGCCTGCTCTGGACCACCCCCGCGGGCTGAGCAGCACCCTGACACGATCAGGGGTCTCCCTGGTACATGGGGCCTGTTTTCGGGAAGCCCCTCAGCTGCACCGGGGTTATGCTTGCAGCATGGGTCGGGGGTCCTCCCCTCAGTCGAGCTCCAGGCCTGGGTCTGGGGTCTGCCCTCAGTCAGGCTCCAGTCCTGCGTTTGGGTCGGGGTCTCCCCAGCCATGTGCTGGGCCTCTGTCCGGGTCGGGGGGCTCCCTCGGCCCTGTCTCAGGGTGGGGGTCTCCCTCCTCATCCGCGTCAGGCCTGTGTCCAGGGGTGGGGGGCTCTGCTCATGGCCGGGCTTGCTTCGGGCTCATGTTCCTGCCTCTCCTGTTGCTTCTAGGCAGGACGGAGCCGGGGGACGTCGCAGGGACGGAGCCCGGGGGTCCGAGCAGAGGAAGTGTCGGGGACGCCGAGCGCAGCGACCGCAGGTGGGGCCAGTTGCCCGAGCGGCCCGTGGCCCGGACCGCCAAGTCCTCCCGCAGCTCCGGGAGGGCAGAGGGGGCTGCGGGCTGGGACCCCGGACACCCGGGCTCTCTCCCGCTCTGGGAGGGGACTGGGATCTTGGGGGTCGCAGCAGGGGGACGGGGAGCCCAGAAGCCCGGGTCCTGTTCTGGATCTGCCATAGCCTGGCTGTGCGATTGGTGTGGGGGGCAGAAAGGGATGCGGGGCCGGGGGATGCTCCGCGCTGCCGGTGGCGGCCGAGCAGGGGCCAGGATGCCAGGATTCCAGGCAACGGCATAAATAAAGGGCACGAGAGGCCTCCA